GACAGACAGACAAACGGACAGACAGAGAGGGGGGCGAAAGAGACGTGTGGGCGGACGGTAGAGACGAGTGCTGCACTAATGGACATTGAGGTAAACACTGGATCAAGTACTAGACATGCCAGACATAGACTACCCGTCACTTTGTCCCATTCATCAATCAGCCCTCACACACACACAAACACACACACACACACACATTGAGGTAAACACAGGATCAAGTACTAAACATGCCGGACATAGACTACCCGTCACTTTGTCCCATTCATCAATCAGCCCTCACACACACACAAACACACACACACACACACATTGAGGTAAACACAGGATCAAGTACTAAACATGCCGGACATAGACTACCCGTCACTTTGTCCCATTCATCAATCAGCCCTCACACACACACACACACACACACAGACACACACACTCACATTACGCACGCACGCGAGCACACACACAGACAGACAAGACTTTAGCAGTTGCGAGCGCCGTAAAACCTTATACTATACATACATACAGACAAGACACACACACACTCACTCACTCACACTTTCTGTCCTCAGAGCAAAGCGTGAATTCTCTAATGACCTACTTGTACAGTCGCCAAGACCAGATTGCCTCCACGGCAGTGCATTTTGACGGCGCAAGGAGCATGGCTGGCTATGGCTTTTGGTACTCGCACGACGACAAATTATTCAATGTTAGAACCGGGGGCCTCTACCTGATTCTTCTCAAGGTGACAACTGTGAGCCTCACCGACCCCGTGGCTCTGAAAGTGCTCAGAAATGACGTGCCAGTTGGATACCTGAAGGGAGGTACGTACGTAGGCAGAGATCTAGTGGTGTGAGGCATCGTGATGGAATCAGGCGCTCGTCAAAATAATGAAATCGAAGCGAACGGCATTTTCTTCCCGCTTAGCAATTTTTATAACATTTTTGTTTTTTCTTCCAGCTTAGCAATTTTTATAACATTTTTGTTTTTTTGGGTCAACACCTTTTATGTCTTTATAGAAACAAATTCCTGTGAGGGTTTTTTTAAAACCGAAAAACGCTGATTAAAGGCACGAGAAAGTAAATTTTACAGTTTCCACGGACTCTCCAGCTTTGGAAGTTACCAAACTTTGGCATTCATTTTCCCGCTAGTTTTATCACTGAGACCAGGTGACCCCCCACCTCCTTCAATCCGAAATATCTCCTCTTCTATTGAAGACAGATGGGTCATTTTTTCATTGAAAGCAAGACAGATGAACAAACTTTAAGATGATACCAATAACTCAATATGCCCAAAAATTGACAAGTGCTTGATGCCACCACGTCGCGACAGTTTTAGTGAAAGTTAGACTTAAGACTAAAGACACTTGCAATACAGATATGTCATAATATGATAGGCTACGGCCCGAAACACTGCTTTAAATCTTTGTCGACGTTGCCAACACATAAGTCCGATCAGCACATTATTTTCACCAGTTCCCACAAATCAGAAACACGAATTTTCGTTTTTGATAGCATGCACATTGTTGCCTGTGGGGGCCCCCATAGGTTTACTTACTATGGGGGAGCACAGAATGTAGCTGCCGTGATACTGCGTGTCGTAAGAGGCGATTAGTAATAATAATAATAATAATTGCATTTTTATATAGCGCATATCCATGCCCAAGAGCATGCTCTATGCGCTTTACAACTATTATTACCCCAGCAGACCCACCGAAAACACTCGGAAACATTCTCGGCTTCCGCGGAAGCATACAGTGCAAGCTGCGGATTTCACGCGCTCAAACACTATCAAACTGACAAGATCGTTCACTGTCTATAGCCTGGTATCCATTTCCACCTGGGTGAAGTGAGGAAAATTTGTGCAAAGTGCCTCCCCCAAGGACACAAGGTCGGACCCTTCACGGGATTCGAACCAACGACCTTACGGTTGCGAGTCCGAGAGCCTAACCACTAGGCCACCCACGCCACAAAAAGGTGCATAAGTCTGGTCCCCCGAAAAGTGCCAGTTTGAGGTGGGCCAACTACCCGGATCAGTAAAAACAGTCAGTTACAGAATCACGGACAAACTAGTCTTTTTATTTTTTCGATCTTGGGAGACGGAGAAGCTTCAGCATCAGCAGGAACAATGACGGACGGTGGACAAAGCCGAGAGGAATCTCTGAAATTGATGTGTAGAAAACTGGGAAGACATGGAATGTCGTCAAGAGGCTAGCACATGATAGAGAAAGGTGGAAAGTGTTTGTCCTTTAGTTTAGTAAGTTTTACGGCGCTCGCAACTGCATACGGTCATAATAATTATGAGCGCAAGTGCTTGTTCGTGGCCTATACCCCGGTGCAGGGTGAGAAAGGCAATGATTATGACGGCATTGTTGCCTGTGCTGCCTTTTAAAGTTTCAGATGAAGAAATCAATAGAAAATCTCCGCAAATATTAATTCTTTCAGTACGCTAGAGATTCCACAATTTTACGCATGCAGGCGCCTGGCGTGTTATCCTAAATCGGCTATAATTAAGTCAGTTGATCGATTTGTTTATGTAAGTACTCAAACTAGTCACAATGTGGTAGAAAATCACGATATGGGTGAGCATAGGTAGTATAATATGTAGAAAAAGACCACGTGAAGATCTTGGGGAGGACGAGATCCGTGCCCCCAAAACACCACTTTAGTGGCGATCCGGATTCAAAGAGTTTAAGGAAGTTACGCCTCTTCTTTTAAAATTTCAGATAAAGAAATCTATAGAAAATCTTCACAAATATTAAGGAAGTCACGCCTCTTCTTTTAAAGTTTCAGATAAAGAAATCTATAGAAAATCTTCACAAATATTAAGGAAGTTAAGCTTCTTTTTTAAAGTACCCGAGGGAGCTCTCATGGTATAGAGGTTAAGGTGTTCACCTCTAAGTAAGTCAAAAAGGGGGCGGGTACGAGGAATCCGGATAATGACGGGAAATTTTCTTCTCTTAATTAAAAAATTCTCCTTTCACATCCTTTCCTGCTCTCTAACAATATTTTGTCGTCTACTTTCGTCTCCACTTTCTGGCCCCACCCCTCACCTCCTTGTCCCCCCCTCCTCTGGGCTCAG